ATTACTTCATTCATTCTTTAATGAAACTATATATGAAGAGCATAAGTCACAGATACATATATTTTAATTGATTCGATATATTAGAAATTATATTACATTGTATTATTATATATATATATTATGATAATATAATACAATTTTTAATTATATTAGTTTTATTTAATTAATTAAATGTATAAAAAAATATATCTATTTTTAATAGAAAAAGAGCGTAAGTCATAGATATATCTACTTCACGTTCAACAATTTTGAAATTCGAAATGGCAATTCTTTTTTCCATTCTTTTGGTAGTAAACTAGTATTATCTATCATTGAAAATGAATCCTTTTTTTATTGTCTTGAAAACTGTAGACTACGTTATATAAAAAGATAATTGGATCACGTTCTGTACCACAGAAAGCTACCAAACCATTGAGTAAATTTAATTTGAAAATTTCAAATAAAAGAAATTTGAGCATACTTTACTGATCTCTATTGAATATTTTTTATTTCTTGTTTCTGTTTTACAGTGTTTCTGAATGTAATTTATTTAATAATGACCAATATAAACACTAGAGTATAGTATCAGTATAGTAAATAGACAAGTCTGGAGAATGACAATAATGCAAGACTGTTTGTTCTATGAAATGATAAGTTCTCACAAAATAAAGATTTTCTTGTCATCCCTACCGAATCGTAGTTTCGTCATTTTGCCCAATCGTGATTCTTAGAATTGAGGATTTTCACGAATTTTTAAATTTCTACGATCATAACCAAAGGATTGAAAAAAAAAAAACATAAAAAGCAATTGATAAGACCATAAAAAAAATATTCTACGTATCGTACGCATTGAGTGTGTTTTTCCTAACTTCAAACTTTAAAAGTCTAATAACTAATAATGATAAATGCAAGAGAAGAAAAATTTAGTAAATAACTAGTAATGAGTAAATAATTAATAGAAATTAATGATGATAAATATAGCGAGAGAAATCTGTAACAAGAAATTGCACTCTCAACTTTGTCCCCTTTTCTTTTCGCAGTATTTCCGTAATTTAAACACTAGAGTCTCCGTCATATACATCGAAACCTGGCAGGGCAAGAACCAGGCGGACATCACCGCGGGCATGGATATCGGTGTCGCTTTGCTCAATTTAAACGATTACGCGATGCGAAGGATGTTCCAAGTTTCTCACGACACGACACAGTTACTCACGTAAGTGATCTCGCCAGATATGATACCGACAGATCTGATCGTTCTCTCCCCCAAGGAATTCCTCTCACGGAAATTGTAATTCGTTCAAATGCACACAGGGGTGAAACGTTCTACGGTGGAGAATCGGGGGTGGCCGTACCTTCGACCGTCTGCAAACAGAAATCCGTAGGGATCAGCGTCGATTTGAACACCTACGAGCCTCATCTTTTAGCTGGTACTATGGCTCACATGATCGGCCACAATATCGGCATGAGCCACGACGATGGAAGTTAGTTCTCGTTAAAAGAATAATTTAATAATCGCAGATTTCACCGTTCGTACGTCTCTTTCTATCCTCTGAATTTATCGTTGTTTGTTGTGAAAGAATTAGTGTCGTACGATATTGTAATAAATAATGAAATTATATTGTTACAACTCAATTTATTCTATTTATTATTCGTATTTATTGTTTAGAACGCGTACAGAAGTGAAGCTTCGTGACATTTATTTTTTTCCAGGGTCACGGCAAACAAAGATAAAAGTTAACGACTGATGAAACAATGAATCGGTTCCATTTAATTTATTATTTCCATTGGAGAAATACATTTAACTTGCGTCCAAGTCGAACGAACGCCATTTGCGAATAGGCTCTCATTCGAGTTGATTCACCGAAATTGAACAACAAATGGTATTTCAATTTTTATGATCATCACGCTGTGAAATTGGCACATTTATGCGTGAAAGTAGAATTAATTTAATACCCGAGTAGAAATTTATAATTAAAGTTTAATTAATCATATTAATATAATTATGTGTTAACATAATATAATTCGATACGTGATTACAATTCAAGTAACTCTTCACAATACAAAGAATTTGCAGCTATTTATCTTGGAGATAAGAGACGAACGGACGGATATGGAAGGATATTTCATTACGTTATTTATTGATCAAAGATATTTCAATTTGTCAAAAAAAAAAAAAAAAAGAGAGATAATTTGCTAAAATTCGAATTGATCGCAGGAAGCGAGTGTATCTGCCGCGAATGGCACGGATGCATCATGGCTCAATCGATCGTGGGCTTGGAGAACGTTCAGCCGTACACGTTTTCCGAGTGTAGTAAAACAGATTACATAGAGTCGTTAAGAAGCGGCAACGGCTTTTGTCTTTTGAATAAACCAAACGAGGTAAGAGAGACCAGGGAGACCAGGTAAGAGAATCTAGTTTTATTCTCGTGATTGAAGGGTGGCTAGTCGAACGAACGAACCCCCATCGGATCGCATCGCGTCGTCCGTCGAGAGTCGTTTCGTTTTTATTCGCTTCGCGTCGTGGAAGATCTTCTTGGAAAGTCAATCGTGCATTCTTACGAGTTAGAAGAGACTCGAGATTTATACTGTCGTAGTTACGAGAGCCTGGAGTTACGATCGGATTCATCTCCTTTAACAGTCGAATAAAGTTATGAATTTCGAACGAAAATACACGTAATTTCTGTTAAGTTTCGAGAGTCTTCTGCAAATGATGAAAAATGTAGGAAAGTGTGTTCGACAAATTTTTACGATGGATTTAGTTGTGTTTGAATCTGGAATCTCCGAGAATTTCGAAAGTATGATAGTGACACATCTTTGATAAAAACAAGCTTATAGAGATAGAGACAAAAGAAGGACAATTTTTTCTTTTCATGGAGTTACAATAGTAATAAATCAAATAAACTAATTTAATTAATTAAATTAAATGATTATGATAATAATTAAAGATTAATGATTCTGTTTAAACAGAAATCAATATTAATTTTGACAAGAATACTCGTATCTTTTCAGCAAAAAAAAAAAAAAGAATCTGAAATTCTACAATTTTTCATCAAGTGTGCTAATATCTTCATCCATATTTTTTCTAATTTTCTTACTGTCAATTCATATTAAAAACAACACACTGTACGTTTGTCCTGTACTTGAATTTTCTTTGCTATTAACTCAAAAATATTAAAAATACTCTATCCGATAAACTGTTAAAGGATTAAACAACTACAGTTTGCAAAAGAGTTTAACGTTGAATAGCCCACCTCATTACTATACTATTTGACGAGATCAATCCATTGTGACAATAAAAGCGATACAATGTGCAGAGCAACCTCGTTCATGCAAACTAGTTGACACCGAGCCTCAAATATACGATCTCATAATTGACTAACTTCTGTTATCCTTATCTACTATCTCTTATTACTCAACAAATAGGAGAAAGTTAGTGAGTTTTATTGAGCTCTATTATCCGAACTCATCGGTTATCCGAAATGACTCTATCTTGCCACGTGTTGAGATAAACGTCATTACGTTAATTCAAATATTTAATTAAAAGGTAATTTAACAAATGGAAAAAAAAAAGATTTCAATATTTAACGCGTACGTGCGAAATTAACGATCAATTTCATATACATCCGAAATATAAATATAAATTGTCATACCCTCAGTTTTATTACGGTTGAACACGTGTAAATAAGTTACAATCTAAAAACATAAATTCTAAGAGCAAAAATTGGGACAACTTCCATAGTGTTTACCCTCGTATAGCATGAATCTTTCCATTACACGTGTTTCTACCAAGTTTTGAATATAATTTTTTTGTCCAAAAATCCAAAAGTCAACATTCTAATCCGTAGTTTATGTTTGAATACATAGTTTTCATAAATATATATTCAAGGAAATGTATGAACATTTGTGTGAAAGAATTATATAAAATATGATATACACTTTCTTTACAGATTGTTTAAATAAATGACGTACGCCATTGAACTTGTCTTTAAAAAATACTAATTTCATCAACAATAATATATAACTGTATCTCTGTAATAATTTTCGAGATATTTGTCGAAATAGATTCCGGACTTTGAGCGTAGCTTACATCCCCTTTAACGATCGTCAATAAAAAAAAATATGCGTTAAATTTTTTAAACTAAATTTCATTAAAATTGATGATTGACGTTTCAGTGCGCTCCCTTTTAGTATCTCACAACTTTTTTATACATCGCCTAGGACTGCAAAGCACCGTCGTAGAAACAGAATCGCGCGTAAAAATCTCGTTAAAAAGAACGTACTATTTTTCAGTAGAGACATTTTGTAAGAAAAGGTGAAATATTCAAATATCGCAAAAATCGAACATTTGAATATTAAAATAAGACGAGAATCGACTTGGTCAGCAATTTGATTTGAACGAAAATTACAGATACATCTTTCTCATTTAACACGACAGTGTGTCGAGACGAGACAATGCCACTGGCGATTTATTTCGTGTGTCTTTTTTATTAAGATCAATTGAAAAACATCGAAGGAAACATTATTATTGCCACGCAATAGTATCGATAGCAGGCGAAATATCTCTTCCATCGAGAGGTTCCGCTGCTACGAGATGCGAGATATCTCGAGACAATTGCAGAAGCGAGATATCTCACGTCTCGGTGACATTGCACAATCGACGTAGCTGTAACGAGATATCTCATTCGCCGTAGCGAGAGGGTTAATTAAGTGGAGGCCATTTAAATATTCCATTCACCGTGTGTGTGTGTATGTGTGTGTATGTGTGTGTTGTAAAAATCGATTCACTGCCGACAGGTGGAAGTAAGGAGATCTTGCGGGAACAAGATAATCGACGACGGGGAACAATGCGACTGCGGATCGATCGAGGAGTGCCCCGATCTTGATCCTTGCTGCGATCCCATCACCTGCAGACTCACCTCGGAAGCGCAATGCGCGTCTGGCCCTTGCTGCAGCGATTGCAAGGTAAAAAAAAAAAAAACACACGTGAAACATACTATGTGACAGATTGTATGATGAAACTAACTTCTTCTCCACCCGCTGTTTTGAAAAACAGACGCGTAAAGCGTTGGCCAATCGCAGCGACAACTTGGCATAATTCATCCCCTCTGTTCACTAACACGCATTATTATGCAATTTCTTTTCACCTGTTACTTCGTTTGTATTTGTACATTATATTTATTTTGTCAAACCTATCTTCTATTTTGTCTGATATTTCTATTTTCAATTATTATATTTATCTATTGTT